AACGAAGCTAAAATTTATCACCCACAGCTACAACTAATAGCAGGAGATCCTGAACTGAAGCATGCAGGTTTTGTAACAGAAACTCAGCCAAAAACCTTCTGTACTGCCAGCATAAACCAGCGTCAGCAGCAGAACTGACTGACAGATAGCAAACGTCACGAGGAGTTAAGATGTCCCAATTCACTTTCATCCCTGTCACTCAGGTAGAAGTCTGTTCTACAGACAGTTGATGGACTTGTAGGGGGTGGTCTTGAAGCTTGTACTAGTTTCACAGAGCTATTACAGTCAGAGAAACCCTTGGTTGAGGAGCAGCTTTAGGAACTGTTCACATTCTCATAAAACCATTTCTTTTCCTGTATAACCCACTGAAGATAACGAATAATTCTGCGAGATGCTGTTTCTCACTGTAGACTTCGGGCAGATTTTCAGCATAGCTAAGCAGCAGCTTACTTTCCAAAGGCTGTTTGACAACTTGCATAAAAAAAACAGCCATACCTTGATTCATGGCTCCTGCAGGACAGGCGCTCACTTCATAAACAGCTCCAAAGCGCCCAGAATGATTGGTGATTAGTTAACAATACCAAGTAATGCTGGTCAATAGAGGTTAATATGATCATGTGTTTTCTTTTCAACATTAAGCATTGAGTGGCTTATACAGATGCTTTGTCTCTTTAATCTTGTCATCTCTCTGAATATTTAGCAATCTGCAGATTTCTAGCACAAAGATGCTTTTATTAAATCTAAACCTCATAAATACACATAAAACTTTCAGTGTTAAAGTAGATTAATTTCAGCACATTTTGAACCATATCATTTTCTAAAAATAAAGCATATTAAGAAAATTCAGAAGCAGCCAAAACATCTAATTGCTAAAGACTCACTAAGACAAAAAATATTGCAGGCCTTCCATGGCATTTAAACCAACAAGAAGCCTCTAGAGATGCTGTATTCTTCCTTTTTGACTTCATCTCATAAAAAAATAGTTACTCTTAGCAAATTCAGGTAATGATTTAAAGATTTTTCCCATCTCCTCCACACCACTGGTATACCAATGAATCCCACAGACCTTGACTGTCCAGCAGGCCTGCCACACACTGTGAACTGGCTATAAATCCACTTACTGAACGGAAATACAACAAAGCATTTATCTACCATTAGTACACAGAACTCAGCAGCAGCAGATTTCTCAAATCCCCACTTTTTAGAAAAGTTTTCAAGGAAAAGTTTTGTTTTCGAAGTTTCTTCTAAAGTTCCCCCAGTGAACCATAAAGACATCTTCATGAATAACTGCACTCAAAAATAAGTTACTATATTCAACTCCAAAAAAATTTTTAGTTCTTCTGCATTGTGTCTCTTTATTCACCAAACATAACAAAACACAAATTGTCATTACTGTACAGGTCAAGTATGTAGTCTAAGGTGATATATAACAAAATAGCATTGAAATTGAGGTATTGAAAATCCAGAGCTTCAGTAAACAAGTCCATTATTTGCAAGTTGTTAGGAAGAAACACTGCTTCCAAGTACAGAACAGATGAGACGTGTCTGGCTTTGGTATAGCTGGAGAACGAGATGTGGGAGGAAGGATGGATTACAGCACAGACTACCTTGCCCTGTATGACAGGGTCATTCTTAGTTCCTAACTTGACAGTTTCTCTTTTTCTTCGTGCAGTTAAAGCAAACAAAAGAATTTCTGCCACTTACGAAACAGCCTTAAGAGGAAGAGATTGTTTCCCTTCCTACTATCTGCTCTGAGATTAAAAAGGATCACTTGTCAGTAACAACAGTGTAAGGAGAATGGAGTTACGGTACCCTGAGGTCTACCTTCCCAGCTTGGCCAGTTGTTTGCCAAAACCCAGAGACATTGCCAATGCAATCCTTCCAGAAACACACATGCCTGAGAGCTCGTTTCCCTCCATTCAGATCAGCAGGCATTAACTTCATGTCCACATCACCCTTTTTCCCCTAAATCAAAAAGTATCAGAAGATATTCCACGTCAAAATACACAGCAACTTCATTTCTCACGGCTAGTCCAGATGCATACCCCAAAAAGGAGACCTTCAAAGATTTAAGATTCTTGGTTTAGTCAGGAAGAAGTAAAACAGACTCAGCTACACACAGCTGCTTCCAGCTTCTAATTAAACATCCTCGCAGTTCCAAAATTTTCACTTAAGAAAAAAAGTCACTCTCATCTGCCCTTCAGAATTTCTGGGAACAAAGTTAGGACGTTCTTTTTTTTTGTTGTAGTGATTTCTTAAGATTTCCAGACTTGCCAAGACTCACCTCAAGGTCCACTTAAAGCATTACAGGAGTGCTTCAGGATTTCCAAATACCACTTCACACCCAAAGGTTGAGGAGGAATGGGGGCAGAAACACTTCCCTCCACAAACCAAAGTGCGTTCTCCAAACTTCTCAATAAGGACCACACAGAGCATGGCAGCCAGGCTGGCTCCTTCCCAGCAGGAAGTTTTCTCATCATTTCAGTTCCAAAGACTTCAGTAATCTCCCATTAAACTGGCATATAACAGAAGCGTGCGACTAACTGGAATCTCAAAATGCTTTCCAGCACTACTTCCACATTGAAAAATCAGTACCATAAAGCTTGTGTTGTTCACACAATGATATCCCCAATAAAAAGCCAGTACAAAAATTCGTGCAGTACTGAACACCTTTCATTCCCAGTTTGGTAAACCTGGGAGTATTAGGCCTGTCCCCGAGGCTCTCCCCTTCTCCTATAGCCCCTTACTCCAGCAGAAGATTGATCACACCTGCTTCAGTTTATTTGTTCTTGGTTCCTGTCTTGAATTCTCCTCATCGCTCTTTCTGAACAGCCACTCCACACTTTACTAATCAATCTGTCATTTATTCACAGTATACAGTGTTTGAAGTAAATGGTAGAAAACTTACTCCCATTCCTCATCAGTCGCTGTCTTGGCTTGTCAAGTGTACACATTCATTATTTCTTTTTATTTCTTTTTCTTCAGACCTCCTTAGTTTGTCACTGCAAGAAGTAACCTTTCACTTGGAGAAAACAACAGAATTTGGGCATGGCATTCTCAAGTCCTCGCTGATTTCAGCACAGGGAGCTTCATCCAGCCCTCATACTCTTGATACCTTCAGAATTGAGCTGACATTTAAAGGAAACAGAGTTTGAAACGGATACAGTAACAGTCTCACTAACAGAGTTTCTTTAACTGAGCTAATCAGCTGAAACATGGAAACATTTCAAGAACCTAGCCTTCCTTCAGCTCACTGCTTCACATCACTTATTTACAACCAAGGTATCTGGAAAAAAACAAGAGACTAAGGATATTTTCTCCTGAAAACATTATAACAAAACCTTTGAGTAGCAGAGAAGAAAAAAATAATGTTCCTGCACAACTTTTGCCTTCCAGCATTTTTTGCAGCGTACTGGGTACTAACAGAGAGTGCGAGTATCTACAGTGAAATAAATTCACCATCCCTATGATTCAACAGCTGCACATTACACACTGACATTTTGCTTATGCGAGATGTAACAGCAATCACAACATAAATCCACACCTTGTCACATTCAGCAGCCCATGTAATACGAGATCCAGCAGTTTCATAAGACACACCTGAGAGTTGTCAGAATAAAAACACGGTTTAGCCTAGGAAGGATAAAAAGTCTCCCACTTAAACTAATGGACAGACTGCATATTCCCACGTGCCACAGACCTAAACAAACTTTGAAGTCATGTAATCTCTAGATTTATTTTTTTATTTTTATTTTTTTTTAAACACAGCCCTTATTTTATGGATAAACAAGCTTCCTGATGTTATGAAGATGTCAAAGACCTAGCATAAAAGGGCAAAGACCTATGGATACTGTTGTAACAGAACCATGTTGGAATTTAAAAGCTAAGCAACTTTTGACATGTATTTTTACTTCTGAAGTCACTAGAAATGCTTTCAGAAGGAAAAAAAAAAAAGACTACTACAACTTTCCCATTTTATTAAAAACAGATTCTAAGTTTCAGACCTCATCTCACATGGAGTGTTATTATGAAGGCTATGGCCACCTATAGTCACAAGGCCACTCTGCATTCCTGTTCACACCAGCCAGTATTAGCCCTCAACAGTTACAGAAGGGTCAGCAATCTTCCTGTATCAGCAGCAATAAGAAAACTGCAACAGAGAATACTTTACATTTCATAGTTAGAGCCCGAGAAACAGCCCAGATAAAACATACAAAGAAAACAGGAGGGAGAAACCAGACTAGGAAGTCCCTCTTCTAATACACATGTGAATGAAGGAGAACTGGAAAAAAAGAATGAGACTGTAAAAGAATTAAATTCTTATCAGAATCTAGACCTCAAATATCTTATCTATGTTAGCAAGTTCGATTCACATCTCTAGGCAGCTTTCACTGCAAGTATTTTGACAACCCTACTGGCCATCATGATAACACTGCACACACTAAGAGAAGAGGAGTTCATCCAGGTCAGGCTGATGCTCCTCAGTCCAAGAAAGGAGATTGGATCACAAGTAAGAAATGTTTTCAACAGAGGCTTCAAATCCAATCTTGTCTTGCCTCTGGATTTTCAGTAGCCACCGCAACTCATGCACTTCCCCACTGCTTTTCAGCAACTTACAAGAACAACACTATTTTGCCCAGATTCCCCACACCATTAAGGTTCCTAAGTTCATTAAGTTCATTAAGACAAAGTTCATTAGGCATGGCTGATTATCCAGAAGGTAAAGGCAGAGGCAAGGAATTGCTACTTTACATACCTAAGTGTACCACTGTTATATCTGTGCCTGCAGGTACTTAAGGAATCAATGGAAACCAGCGTTGGGTTTTTTTTTAAGTTGTTTTATCCCAATCACTCCAGTGAAGCACTCCTGACCCCAATTAAGGCTGCCACTGTAACTAACAAAGATTCTGAGTCTTCCTGCTCTTAAAAGTAACTGAGGAAACAGAAAAGGCTGAGTAAGCAAAATAATTTATTTAATAAGATTCTCCCATTTTACTTACCATCACTTTCATTCTTGCTTCTCATTTCTTCCATCCACATTGGAATATCTTTCAGTGCAACGTATCCCCTTAAATACTCTTTGCGTCTTTCTTCCAAGGTCATCTTCAGCAAACGTTCTGTTCAGGGGATAAAAAAAATAAATAAATAAAAGTTCTGCTAGCTTTCATATGTTCTTGTACATTGGCCAAGTAGTGACCAATTCAGTGTCCTTGAGGCAACCAAACACTGTTTGAAAGAAACAAGCATGGCTGATTTGATGAGTTACAAATAATAGGAGCTGAACACAGTGTATTTAGAACTACTGCCTGCACCTATTTCTGGATATCCCAGTTCAGCAAAAAAAAAAAAAAAAAAAAAACCTCTTCACTGCTCTCTCAGCTGTACACATTTCCTTTCCCCATCACTACAGCACCTCCTCTTCCAGTCACTTAAACTCAACATCAGAGATCTAACAGCAGGTTCGTTAAGTAGGGAATTGTTATTTTATAGTGTTTCCAGGTATCAGAATACATTCTTCACATTCCGTATTCATAAACCAGATTTTAAAAACAAACAGAGCCACTGCACTGGAACATCAAAATTGATGTATTTTTACTGAAACAAGTTTCACATATTCCAGCAAAGAAAGAGGGGAAAATGGTACAAAATTAGCAGTGTCAATACGCTACAAAAATAGAAATCAGCAAAAGCAAATGTTACATCACTTTCTAGATGGCTGCAGTAATAAGAAAGGTGTTTCTGTTTGGTTGTTTTGTTCTGCAAGCAATACAACTCCCAGCATGAGAAATCTGCAGTCATTTACTTTAAACAGATCCATTAGTGTTTAAATCACATTTTGGGCCAAAATCAGCTGCTCCAGAAAAATAAAATACTATAGGCTACCTGTTGTTCACCCAAGGGTAAGCAAAAGAAACCCCTAAGCTGGACTGACAAACCAGCTGAGCACACAACAATTACTAGGAAAGCCCACTGCACTCTATTGGCTAAACAGGTTTCTAAAGGCAGCCCAGGATCAGCATGACCTGAATCTGTTGGACTGGAAGTGCTGTGAAACAGAACCTGGTTTTGAAATGAGCAACCTGGGTTAAGACTTAGAGTTTTGTACTTGAGCATTAGAATGACACACTTAGTTACTGCACTGAAGTGCATACAAGAGGTTTTCTTCTGAGAAATAGTCACAGTGCCTCTTTCTAGACACTTAGTATAAGTAAAGTTTCACAGGTTGTACAATTAGGACAGATGCTGCCAGCTTCACTCTCCTTCAGCAGTGGCTGTAAGCACACTAAAGCAAGAAAAGCAGCCCAGCAACCTGGGCTGGACACCAGGTTCTTGCAGACCTAACCCCTTCTTCTCACCCCACCAAGCAAGATGGACTCCCTCAGTAGAGAAATACAATTCTAATGCTCACTGCCAGCTTTGTACAAGATGCACCCATCCATATGGAGGGGGGAAGAAATGTAAAGCATGTGAAGACTCCCATTCACTAACCAAGCTCCTGGCTACATCCTACCAATAACACTGAGGTACCATCACCATACTAACACCTTCCCTTGGCCTGTTAGTCACTACTAAGTGCTCTCTGATGACTGAAGAGGTTTTAGAGACATATGGATCTTACCCTTCCCTATCACGAACAGACACAAACAGAGATGGTATTTTCTTATCAAGTTGAAGGAGCAGGGAAGGGGTTGAACAGAAACTGCCTTTTAGGCCAAAGCTCTCAAGAAAAATCACTTGCGCTGTACTAGTGTTTCCCCCCCCCCCACATCAAAATAACTTTCTTAGTTTCACACAGTGTAATCAGTACAGTCTAAAATACCATGGGCAGGCTTTGAGCACAGGCTTCCTTATCAGAACAAATGTATTTTGATGTTTTGACAGTACGACTTCTCCTTCACTCAACAAAAATATCTCTAATGCATTATTCTGGCTTGCTATCTTAATTGGATGCTTACAACTACAAGAGTACAACTAATGTGATTAGAATCACCATTATGCTTTGCAAATACACACTTAGCTCTACTGCTTGATCTTCAAGCGCACCAAGTGTTAAGTGCGTCTGTTAGAAGTACTACAGAAGGCAAACCTGAATGTGAGAGGAAAAGAGAGTGTGTCTGTGTGTGTCAAACCACAGGACCAACTAGCACAGAAGGTCTGGCTGAAGATGCCACAGAGCCATTTCCCTACCCTTAAAACAGCAAGTTTTCCCTCTGTAGGAAGGGTGTGTAGAGCTTCACTCTTGCAAGTCGCCAGAGAGAATTTCAGCCGAGGTTCAGCTGCACACAAGCCTCCCATAAGATGCTTCCAGCATCTTTAGTTGCAAGTGCTGTTATCCACATTGCCTGCTGACGTGCTTGAGAAGCTCACAGGCAGATCAGTCCCGTGCTGCAAGACTGACATCAACAACAATGCTGCTCCTGCTGCTTCAATGAACTCCAAACAAGATCCAGCCTGGGAGAAAGTGAATCAATTCTCAGTTACCAAGAAAGTAATTAAGGAAAGCCAGGTAGTTATCAGTGGGTTTCAGGCCAGTATTTAGTAGTCTGGTTTTTGTTTTTTGAAAGAACGAAGCCCTCCAAAACATAAATGGCTGAGAATGATCCACCATCAAATCTGCATGGGAGAAGCAGAACCAGGAGCCCCATCAGCACTGTGGGAGCCAGGAGCACACAGGAATGGCAGAGATAGGCCCAGCAGAACGCTTGCTTTCACAGACAGCCTGGCTATGAAAGAAAGAAGTTGGGATGCTGTAGTTTTGCTCCCCAGCCAAGAGAACGCTCTACAGGAACAGCTATGCTCAGCTGCAAGCTAGAGAGCAGCAGCAACAACACAGCAGCGCTTTCCCCTTTCCTCGTGTGAAGGGCCCAAGGCCAAACCCACGAATACAATGCCAAGGAGCAGTTACTGGAGCAGAAGACTGGCAAGTGCTGTTCAGCCTCACTGTGTGAGGAGACACCGAGTCCCAGCGCTCAGGCACACGCCTCACTGGGCAGAGCACCCTTAACAGCAGCTGAGCTGCAGCGAGCGTTCAGTACCATCTCCATGCTGCACAGACCGTAGTATTGCTGTGCTGGTGGGTTTAACCAGCTCTCTTCTGCTCTGAAAAAGAAAAATTTCAAAGCCAGCTAGAAACTAGATGTCTGGGAGGAATGTTACTTCTAGGACAGCTTGACAAGATGACAGGCAATGCAACTCCCTGCCCTGGGGATGGGTGTGAATGGAGCAGCCAAGCTGCACAGAGATGAACTTATGTGCATCTTGCATCTTCCTCTTCACCAGTACCCATGGATTGCTCCCTGCAGCACGCACGCTGTCCTACAAGGGGCCGCCTGCCTTCCAGACTTGCAATATGCACTCAGCAGCGGTGACGAGGGGAGAGAACTCATAACAGGACCTGCGAGCGTGCTTTAGTTTTGCTCTGTCTCCGGTAGGGTCCTGGGCGCAGGGCTCCCACCAGCCCCCGGCAATACCCCGCCTGGCTGCCGCGGTTTCTCCGTGTATTTACATTGCTTTCAGAGGGTCGACAGGCGGACGCCCATAAGCCAAGGTCAGCGCGCAGCGCCCGTCCCACGCCTTCAGCGGGCGGCCAGCTCCGGAGCTGGACGTTGGGCTCAAAGAGCCGCGGAGGGAAGATCGACGAGCCCTTCAAGAAGGGAGCACGGTTTCTCACCGGTGCTTTACCCGCGCCGTAACCCAAACACCACGCACACACGCACACATACACACACAGCTCGCGCAGACGAGCGCGGGACGGGAGCGCCCAGCGCCCGCCCTAAGGAGCTCCCGGCCGCGAGGCGCCCGCAGTGCCCGGCGTCAGCCCGCGCCGCGCGGCGCCAGCGGCGGAGGGAAGCAGCGGCGGGAACGGGCTCGCGCGGCGCCCCCAGCCGCAGCCCGCCCGCGGTAGGCGGCCACGGCGCCGGAGAGCGCGCAGGCCGCGGCGGGAGCCCGTCCCGGGATGGGGCGGCCCCGCGAGAGGAGGGTGGCGGCGGCGGCAGTACCTTTCTCCTCCCGCCAGAGCTTTTTCCGCTTGTTGCCGGGGTACATGGTGCTGTGGCTGGCGGCGGCTTTCAGCTGCAGGTTCCCCAGGCTCACGGGGGTGTAAGGGACGCCGAGCCTCAGCGACAGCCGCCGCCGCGCGCGCGCCGCTCCCCGCTCCGCGCCCGCCCGCCGCCCGGCTCCGCGCGGCGCCCGTCAGCTGGGTCACGCCTCGCTCTAACCCGACACCCCCGCAGCGCCCGCCCCCCTCCCCGCCGCCCGTTGGCTCCGGCAGCCGCCGCTCAGCAGCCCCCTCCTCCGCCCGCCGCCGCCGGCCCGGGCACGGCGCGGCCGAGAGGGGCCCGGAGGCGGCGGCGGGGCGGGAAGAGGCGCCGGGACCGGGATGGGGACGGGGGACTCCCGAGCGCGGCGAGTGCTTGGGTGGGACGGCGGCGGCCCCGGAGAGGGCGCTGGGGCCCGGCACGGCACGGCCGGCCCCGGGGCGGAGCGGCGCCCGCTCTGCTTCCGGGTTGCCGAGCGGCACCGAGCGCTCCGCTCCTCCGGCGGGCGGGCCGCGTTGCTACGCGACGGCGTCGCGATCCCGACCGAGGGGGGCGGCGAGACCGCGGCCTGCGGGACACGGCACGGCACGGCCGGGGCCGAGGGGGGAGCCGGGCGGGCTGGCGGGGCGGGGCGGAGCTGCGCGAAGCCGCCTGCTGAGCATTGCCTTGGGCACGCTCAGCCCCCGGCGGCTGGCCGCCTTGTCCCGGGGTTAAGTGCGGTTGGGCCGCGTGGAAGAGAGATCCCTGGTCCGGAGCACGCTCCTCTTGTTCGGCCTGTGGCTCTGGCTCTGTCCTCCACAGCTGCACTGAAAAAAAACATGTTTTTTCTGAGCAGATCTTTTCCTTTTCCCTCTCCCAGCACTTTTTTTTTTTTTTTAGTGTAAACATAAATGCATGAAACTTTCAGTAAGCACAGTAGCAAAAAACAGCACAGTAAAAATAATAATCAAGTGATCAGACGGCAATACATGATGCTGTGGAAGAGTATGAAAGCGTGGTGAGGTACTGGAGGTTACTGTGTTACCCACGATACGCAGAACTGCCTCAGCTTAGAAGTGCAAGGGGCAGCACACAGACCTAACTGCCCGGAGATGTGCTCAATGGATTTGTGCAGGTAGCAGGTCTCGGTGTTCCCACGGCAGGCAAAACATCAGCAATGAGTGGGTTATCCCGTAAAAGTTCTGCATGCTGGCAGAGGAAAAGTCTGTTCCTTTTCTCAGTGTTCTGGGGCACTGTGTATCAGGCAGTGTCAAGAGGGAGCTCAGTGGTCTTCTGGTGAAATAAAGCCACCCCTGACAGAAGGAGAAACTCTGTGACAATGCTGCGAAACAAACACAACAGCGAAAAGTGCCTCTTCTTCCCGTGCGCAGGACTATCCACCTTTGTACCAAGTTCTAGTTTCTGAGGAGCAAACACAGCATCTGTGCTGTTATTCTTCAGTCATGGTGCAATTCCTGACAGCAAAATCCATAGTCTCACCACACCCACTGGTGGAACAGGATACTCAGAGCTGTCCTTCTCAAATTAGAATAAAACTCCTCTTTACAAAGCACGTTTTAATATTCAGATTAGGTCGGCTCTCAAGGGTACATTGCTATCCTCTGTGTTTACTCGATGTCTTTGTTTTGGCCAGCTGATATTCTCTGTTAGCCCACACACAGTTTTTTCATCTTGGTGAAATGAGAAACCAGCTGATGAAGAGGCATCAAAGGGATCATAGCTGAAGTCACGTGTGCTTCTATGATGCAGAGCAGATACTTGAACCCGTATCCTGCATCATTGCCATATTACCAAGCTGTTGAATATTCTAGAGTCCTCTGGGATCTGTTCCACATTTTATAAATCAATGTTTATTGGACCAAAAGGGAAGACAGAGAAAACTCTTTTCCCATCCGGGGCATTTGCATGCATTCTTCATTTTCATTTGTAAAAGCAGCTAAAACAGCCATCATTTTGGGAAATATAGAAAGTATGTGCCTTTAAAAGGAAAAGAAAAAAGCCTCGTGCACCAAAACGGAAGATCAGATAAAAAGGCAGGAGTAAAACTCTCTTCAACTTAAAATAGAAATGTTTAAACTTTCCAATTTGTGTAAGAAAATACTTATTTTTATTTAGTTATATGTATATGAGTTTTTACCTCAGTAGCTCTTGGAACAATTGGGCCCCCCGAAGCAAGAAGAAATTATGTCACCACCTTTGGTGTGAGCATGATCAGCATTCACTTCTTATACTTGTTGATTCTGGAGGCCTTAAACCTTCCAGCAATCACAGATCCTCCAGGTTGAGTGAAATCATCGGTCAATTACCAGCCACCTCAGTTTGTGTTTTCCCTGCTGTTCCTGAAGGGAAGCAAAACGTTCAGCCTTGTAGATATGAAACATGAATAGTCCTTCCACTGCTGCCCACCAGCTTGCAATCCCCACAGCCAGAGCTAGAAAAATATATGGGAAATGGTCCATTAGAAATGCTGTTTGGGGAACACACCTAATTTCTTTATGAAGATATTTTTCCCTGGTTGAGCACATGTAACATTTGCCATGGGTGAATATTAAAAAGACAAAGACACAAATATATCAGGCTTTCTGTCTGACAAGTTTGTAGCTCTCAGTCAGCAGAGGGAAGAAAATATCCACATGACAAGAATAATAATCCTGCTTTCTGGATGCTGGCAGCAGTCTAGCACACTGCAATGAAATCTAAGGAAAGCAGGGAACAAAACACAGGTTATGTCTTTTTCTTTCTCTAACACTGTAGCTGGCACAGAGGCATAGTATCAGTTACATATAAATACAGTTTATTTTCTTTCTCATAACATTGTTGATCACAGTTTTAGCCTGACGTGTCAAGTTCGACCATTGTTTCCAAGCAAGGAACATCTAACAGGTAGCATCCTAAAAGTGGAGTGATGCTTAGACCAGGTGCTAATTATATAACACAAAACACAGTAATTAACTTCTGGCTCTGACACTTAACTGTCCATGTCAGTGGATAAGACAGTGCAAGGACAACCCTAGATTTGCAGAAAAGATGCAGAGTGAGAATGAACAGAAATCACAAAATCATAGAATGGTTTGGGTTGGAAGGGACCTCAAAACCCTCCCAGCCCAACCCCTGCCATGGGCTGGCTGCCCCCCACCAGCTCAGGCTGCCCAGGGCCCATCCAACCCGGCCTTGGGCACCTCCAGGGATGGGGCACCCACAGCTCTGGGCAGCAGTGCCAGGGCCTCACCGCCCTCTGAGTAAATAATTACCTCCTAATATCTAACCTAAATATCTCCTCTTTTAATTTAAAGCCATTCCTCCTTGTCCTATCACTATCAGACCGTGTAAAGATTCAGTCCCCCTCCTGAAAGGCAGCAATGAGGTCTTCCCAGAGCCTTCTCTTCTCCAGACTGAACAAGCCCACAGCTTTTCTTCAAAGGAGAGGTGCTGCAGCCCTCTCAGCATCTTCATGGCCTTCCTCTGGGTCCGCTCCAACACTTTCACATTCTTCTTGTGCTGGGGGCCCAGGCCTGGATGCAGTACTGCAGATGAGGCCTCACCAGGGCAGAAATTACAGGAGATGCTAAAGGAAGATGAAGGAAGTCCACACAAAATCCAACATCACGATGACCAGGAACATGAGAGCACAATCACTGGAATGGGAAGCATAGGAGTCAAAGAGGAGTCTCTGAGAAAAGTGATCAGCAGTACCGAATGTGCTGGGAAAATTTAGCCAAAAAGCAGCATTTCAGTACTTGGATGAAAACCAGAGAGGCTAAAAAATAGATTATTTTCTGGAGAAAATTAGTGAGCTGTATACTCTGTCAGCTTAAGCAATACTCAGAAGGCTTCAGTATGTTTCACTGAAACACTGAGCGCAAAAATGCAAAATCTAGTGTGTTTCATCCATCCCTGGCCTAGGGAATGCATTGGTAGTGTTTAAAAGATGTATGGCCTGGACAGAAGACAGATTTCTACTGTGACTGTAAAGTAAATGCTTGCTTGACATATGGATAAAGCAGTGACTGGTTAGAGAGTTCCTGTGAGATACATAATAGGAAATGCAAATTAATAAGAGAATGAATAATACACTATGTCAGTGAATAAATGTACCAAAGAAGAGCTAGAACTTCAGTGCAAGCTGCTGGAACATTCACCACCTGTACACAGCATTAAAATCACCATCAGCCATCCTGACCAAAATAAGCAGTCCGGAGCTGCTGCCCTGTAAAACAGTTTAAGTTCTGCCTGTGAACAACACACGGACTTGTGAAGTCAGTATGCTGATTTCAAAGATTGCGTAGCGTGGGTGATGTGGATTAGAATCTGAATCTCATTATACTATTTCAATTAGTTGATAACATTATTTAAAATGTGAGATTAAATTGAGATTATTTCCTGCGGTTCTAACCATTTTAAAAAATGAAACACAACTCTACGCATTTGGAAATGTATGATTTGAGTAGCCAGTAAACAAAAGTAATTTACTATGCCAATAACATAATAGACTAGTATAAACATATGAGTTTATGAATATTTCATATTTAATTTTAAAAAATGTATCTCAGTAGTTATTATTTTCACTTCTCAGAGCTTGTTTGTGTAGTAAGCCCTGTTAGCTGAGTCTTGTTGATTTTTATTAAATCCTGTGCCAACACAAGTTCCACAGCAGGAAATTCTAATGCAGACGTACAGCCCATGTACATTAACCATGAAGTCTTTCCTCCTGTTCATTCACATCACATAGTAAAACCCTTCTGAGCTCCACAATATTGTCAACAAAAAGTTGCCTTTCTATAAGCACGTTCACTTTCAGATATGCTACCATGCATTCAAAACATAAAACGCACATCACTCATCTTCTATTTGAGAGTTGTACCCCACCTTTTGAGCTTTCGAGCTACTAACATACCTGGGTCAAGTTTCTGTTAATAAAATTACGCTTGTGACAGGTAGAGAGGGAGTGAACTGATGACAAGCATTTGATAAAGTGCTGCCTGTAATCTCCCTGCTTTGTTGCCTTGAGCAAATGAGCTAACAAGAAGGCAAGAAACTGCAGGCTCCCTTTGTCCTGCGGGGTGATTGGAGAGAAAGATGAAAGGCAAAATATTCATGTTTCTCACAGCTTTCTGATTTTAATACTTTTTGCAGAGGA